TTTAATAAACTGATGAACTAAATGCCTTCAGGATATAACACTTTTTAGGGTGAAGCATTTAGGTTTTTAGGAACTGTGACCAACTTTACACCTGATTTATATATTCAATGTATCATCAAATTTAGATTATACATAAAAATCCATAGTTTCAGCTCTGTTTCTTAATTCCTACCAGGATGAGAGCCAAGAAAAAGTGAAATCCAGCTGTTGTACATCAGCAATTGTTGTTTTCTTCATCTAATATAAAAAAGCCTATTATAGTAACTGAAAGTTATTAAATCATCTATCGTCATTTCATCATTGCATCTTTCACAGTGGTTGTTTTCCTTAAAATAACCTATCAAAATATTCTTTGTCATGTGTTCCTTATTGGGATCAGAGGACTAAGTTGCTGACAGATAACATGTTGTTGTCAGAACCGAACTTTGTCTATTCTCATTTAGGTGTAATTTTAGCAGTGGAAACTACACAGTGAGTACATAGTCATGGTAGATGGCTATTTTTTTTTTTATTTAATGGTTTGCCCATAGCAAACCATTAAATACAAAAGCAGACTGATGTTAAACTGGAAAACCTACAGTAGAAGGGCCATAATAACTCAAATCTGTCTGCAGTACCCCATACACAATTGGGAAGCTTAAGAGAACTGAAGGGAAGGTGGAGATATGGCTGTTGTCTGACAATGTGAAAAGGAAATTAAACAAGGCTGAAACCAGACAGCAGACCTGGATCCCTCTAAAATGTAGCAAAACAAATCCAGCATAAACTTCATTAAAACATTTTTTTTCCTCCAAAAATCTATTACATTATGTAGATAGATAAAAATGTATAGAATTACTGCAACTTGTTTAACATGTTGTATTTTATTAGTCTAATTATACATTTTAATTGATCATAACAACACAACGGCAATTTGTAGCTTTGTATATATATATATATATACATAAAACAACAAATAAAATACCTTTGATAAATAAAAATAAATTCAATTGTATGAATGCATAATAAACGTTATCAAACATAATTAAATCAAATGAAAACTAAATTGAGATAAGCATTTCTTACTTAATGGAAAGAAACCTTACTAGAACCCAGTTAGAGACATTTTGATTTAAAAAAGGCAAAACCGTATCATGGATTTCTGTGCTTTTCTTAATATAACCATATAGAAGCTATTATACATTAAAACAAACACACAACAATTTTAACATCATGTCTTTTTCCTCAGTCAGATTCTCTTAGTTTCCTTTCTCTTTAGTCAGATTCTCTTAGTTTCCTTCCTCCTCAGCCAGTTCCTCTTAGTACCCTTTCTCCACAGTTGGATCCCGTTAGTGTTCTTTCTTTACAGTCAGATCTTGTTACTTTTCTTTGGTCAGTCAGATCCTATTAGTGTTCTTTCTTCAATCAAATCTTGTTAGTGTTTGTTTTCTTCAGAATCAGGTCCTCTTAGGCTACTTTCACACAGCAGCCTGAAGTGACCCAAATCCGTTTTTTTGTCTCGCACATATGCAACCTGTGTCTGATCTTTTCATGACTGTCTGACAACACAGATCCGATTTGTTCCAACGCGACCCAGGCCACTTAGCTCTGTAGTCCTGAATCCAATATGAATCTGATATTTTCAAATGCAACCTGCGTTTGAACGGTCAGGTTGCATTAATCCGAGTTGAATGTCATCAGTACTCAACAAAGGTCCCTATTCTGCATCTTGCTATGCAGAAATGGGAAGAAAAAGCAACACCAATGTTCAACCCTCTTGAAAAAACCCTCTTGTATTGATAATGGCTGAGGTGGAAAAGAAATAAAACATTGCAAGATGCGCTTCGGCACTACCACCCATGTTTACTTCCATAAACACAGAGCATGCTCGCTTGTGACGCCATTGCATCCTCTACTGCACATGTGAGACGCTCATGTTGTCTAAATGCAGTTCACACAGGAGAACACATACAAGTCGCATATATTTGGAAATGTGAACAACAGGGTAAAAGAATCGGATTTCACCAAAAAATTAGGAATTGAGCATTAAGAACTGTAGTGTGAACCTAGCCCAAGTGTTCTTCAGAGTCAGGTTCTCTTAGAGTTCCTTCTTTAGAGTCAGGTCCTTTTTGTGCTCTTTCTTCAGAGTCAGCCCCTCTGTGTGCGCTCTCACCACAGTCAGACCTTCTTAGTGCTCCCTCACCTCTTAGTATTCTTTCTTCTCCTCAGTCAAATCCTCATAGTGACCTCTCCCCAGAGACCACTGAGCCTGCTTTGTGCCATCCAGAGACTCCTGAGCCCCATGAAGGATCTTTCTTTCAAAAAGAGCTATGTGAGAGTTTCCTATCAAGGCCCCTCTTTGGATGCTACTCGTATCTAAGGCCCCTTTGTGGGATCCTCTTCTCAGAAGCACCTCCGTGGGCACTCCTCATCTCCAAGGCCCCTCAGTGGGCACTACTCGTCCCCAAGCCTACTCAGTGGGCGCTGTCTCCCTGTTTGCAAGGCATTTCTCCATCTGCTCCACCTCTTTGTGGGTCTCGAGCTGCTCCACCTCTTTGTGGGTCTTGAGCTACACCACCTCTTCGTGGGTCTCAACGTGCTCCACCACTTCAGGGGTCTCAACCTGCACTGCCTCTTCGTGAGTCTCAAGCTGCACCGCCTCTTCGTGGGTTCCTGTGCTGCAATCAGCAGACCCCAATGCTCCTGCTTCTCAGAAGTCAGCTTCCAAGGCTCCTGCTGCTGAGATGCTGGCCTCCTGGCCATCCTCAAGAGGTTATCCTTGGCCACTGGCCTCCAAAGGTCCTTCGCAGCTGTCCTCTCCAGGTTCCCCTTCACCGCTGGCCTCCAGAAGTTCTCCTTGGCCACAGGCCTCCAGAAGTCCTTCACCACCGTCCTCCCCAGCTTCCCCTTTACCGCTGACCTCCAGAGGTCCTCCTTTGCCACCAGCCTTGAAAGGTCCTCCTTCATCTCCGTCCTCCAAAGACCCTTCCAGTTGGCTTCTACAGTGAATCTAACACAACTTTGAAAGCTGTTTTTCTCTCTAAGTTCTGTAAGTTCTGCCAATATAAATGGACATTTCTTCAATTCTATTTCAATATTAAAAACCTTGATATCATTGGAAAGCTTAGATTCCATTTTTCTTGATCTATAAGTAATTCAGAAGGACCCCAGGTAGACTTCCTGGTCTTGCCATGACCTGTTAAATTTTTATACTTGTTCAAACTGCTATGGATTAAGTTGTGTGACAGTCGCAGTGTTGAAATATTTTCCAACAGAAGCCTGGACATTAAAGGCTTGGACATTAAAGACGCATTCGCTTGCATGCATATGGGATACAAGATGTACTTTTGAAAGATCAAAAAGATCTAGTTTTCTTGAAACATTTATAAATTATTGCTAATGCTTTATTCATTTGTTGTGTTCACAGATCAAGACTTCTTCAATGCCACATAAGAAGAATAACCACTACAAACATCAACCATGTCACTCTGCTTATGAGTGTAATTATTTTAACTAAAATCTTAGAAAGAAAATTATATGTCTCTTGACTCATAGTTTTGATGCATTTGTAGAATGTTTTTTTTTATTATTATTTCTGGGACTAGGAAAGAAAGAATATTTCAAATTATGGTAATGAGTAAATTATGCTTTTTATTTATGAAAGTGCATGACATTGTCACTAATATACAGTTTTGGATCTTTTATACCTTCACTGTGTTTTTATTTAGTATGTAACTTGTTTTTTAGACCTTTACACATACCTTTGTAACAACAAAATAATTAGAAGTAAAAAAGAATTAGACTCAAAGTATCATATTAAATACCTAGGGTAATAAGCTGAGAAACAAATATGTAAAAGAAAGTACTTTTTAAGTCTTTTTCATGACCTAAAAACCAAAAAAAGAAAAACTCTTTAGACAAGTAACAATTTATCACTTTTAAACATTATTTTATAGTACAGAAAGCAACAGGTGCTCTATCAAAAACAGAATTTTTTAAACACCAGAATATTTCACCTTACATAGGAAGGGGGAGGGAGTGGCAATAAAGGCAGTTTCCTTTCCTTTTTTGCTGTTGGTTCCTGACCTACTCTGTCCCACTGTGGGGCTTTAGTCTGGGAAGGGGTGGAGACAAAAAAACAGGGGAGAGGGGAGGAAAGTCAAAATGAAGTGGGACAGACCCCCTTCCACCACGATTACCACCCCTATACTCCCCCACTGCACACACACACATACAAATCCACATTTACATGTGCATACGCAATCACACACACACGGTTAAGTATGTGCATGCAACAAACTCTTCAAAGCCAACTGGTTTTAATAGACATCCAATTAGGCAAAGACATCTGGGGAGCTGCTGTTGCAGATAAATAGGGTGAAAGGAAGACAAGATTCAGTCACCTCTCTGAAACTTCTGAAGATCAGGGGAAAGCACCGATGATAGAGGCAGCAGCAAGGAGAGGTGGGGGCCTAAAGAGAGAGGGAGTCACACATTTGAAGAAAGAGGAGAGGCAACACACCACTCCTGCATTCAGACTCTGAGAGGCAAGAAGAGAGGAGAGACCGGGAGCTTAGCTCACTGACAGACGCATAACAAGAGAGGGAGAAAGACGAGACCCAGGAGGACTTGGTTACAATCTCAAGTAACTTCAAAACGAGCTCAAACAAAAAACACAGAAACAAAGGAGGAAAAGGAGTCAAGAAAAAGTCTGGATTTGGACAAAAAACTTGCCTTCATTTCTTGGAATTTTTTTTCTGGACATTTAAAGAGAAGCAACTTAGATCTTTTTTTTTGTGGTTATATTTATTACAAGAAAACTTTTCTGTTTAATCTCTTCCGCCTCCCTGCAGCACTGAACTTGAGGATATAAATGGACTTATTTTGTTAAGAAGGTTATAACAGATGATGAAATATATATATGTATTAATAAAGTCATAGTTTTGATCTATAAGGATTTGGAGAAGAAAGAACAAAGGGGAAAAAAAGCAAAAATTCTGCAGCCCTGCACCCAGCCCTGCACCCAGCTCAGCATGCCCCAGCCCCTGAACACATCCACAGCTCTCCCAGCTCCACTACCATGTGTAGATGGACAGTGACACAAGGTGCACAGGTCGCCTGGTTCTCCTCCTTCCCCTGCAGCAGACCTCCATCACGCTTCCTGCCTGTGAACTTTCTTCTGCTGCTCCTCTTGCTTGGACCCACTGCTTCATCAACAGATTCTGAAAAGAGCCATGCACCAGAGGGGACTCTTAAGCCACCTTGTTGGGCGCTCCTGCGCGCATCCTCTGCAAGGTTGCCACGGGCGACTAACTTGTCGCTGTCATCTGCAACAGTTGTCGGGCGACATGTGCGAAGCAGCTACAAGCATCTACAAGGTGATGTGCGCAGGAGAAAGCTGTTCTCCTATCAGAAATTCTTCCTTCGCATCGGCAAGGATGGACACGTCAATGGCACCAAAAGAGAGGATGATCCATACAGTAAGTTAATATTATGATCTTTCTGGTGTTATGTTTTAAGCTTTCACAAGGTAAACAAAATAATAGTTTCTGTCAGTACTACTTCCGGGTAATTTATGAATAGATTTCTGTAAGAAGTCTTTAAGCACATAACTCCTACTTTTTTATATTGCTGGTAACCTAAAACGCAGCCCTCTTCTATTAAAAAGTTTATCTAGAGAGAAGGAGGTTTAATTTTTTTTCTTTTCTGGAGTGAGTGTGCACATTAAAACAGGTGATCGGCCAAAATAACTCATAACAGCACTACATGCCTCCAGCCCTTTTGCCATGTGGAAGAGGCAGAGCCTATTTGTCTTGCTACAAAGAGCTTGGGAAAATAAAGCTGGACAAAAAAAAAAATAGAAGAAGGGAAGAAGAAAAAAAGAAGAAACTAAAACAAGTAAGCCAAGGAGATAAAGACAAAAAAAAAGAGTAGACAATTCACTGGAATCAATTATATATCGCCCAGAGAAAGTTCTTTGTCTTTGAGGGAAATATCTAAAACAGCTATTACCAAACCCCAAGAGGAGAATGACAAATCCACTAACTTCTTGTTGCTATTGTGTTCCAGCTCTAACAGTCTTGGGCATATGCTAAGTTTGAGGTTTTCCTGACTTAGATGTAAATTCATCTATGCCTTTTTCTTAATTTTTTTAATTTTCCCGGCTATGAAATATGATTTAACCTTTAATTATCCCGAGACAGGTCACTGAGAACACATGATTATTTGTCAGTGCTACTAAACTTCACATTTGCACAGCTGTCCTTCTTCACACTTGCTCCAAAGTTTGTCTTGCACTGCCAAAATACTTCTCTGCCATTTTATCTGGAGGTTGTGGGAATTTATAACGGATAAATGGTGTCCAATCTGCACAACGACAAACCTAATTACTTTGAAACTTCAACTTGCAAGGCGTATCACAATTCGTTATGCCTGATCGAGAGCAGAAAATCAGCTGTTATCATTCTGTCCTCCAAAACTTTTATCTTGTAGTTAAACACATCTGGAAGTTCTCCAAGACTCCCAGAGATTTCTGGCCTCTGAATAGCTCGGACTAACTCCACGGCCTCAGGGCACACTGAAGGCAGTTGTTCAGAAAGAATAGGACATTGCTCTTAGACAATAACCATGGATAGTTTGTTTTTTATTTCTATTCTACTAAATATGGTCTTTCTGCATTATGTATTACTTATATTTCTTAATCTGAGATGGCATTTTGAGTCTGTATGTCAGTGGGAGTTATTCTAATTGGTGATAACTTATCAAAATTCTGTGGATGATTTCCAGTCTCAACCTTTTCTGTCTTTAACAAGATTAATACAAAAAGTTCTGTACATGCATTATATCAGGAGAAGATACATCTGTGGGAGAGATTAGTCACACTATAAGAGAGTTTGACAAATCTGTTCAAAATTACACATTTAGGAGTGCTATCATACTGTTTTTAATGTTTAACATTAGCAGTTAGCATAGCTGGCAGGGCTTAAAATAACTAAATCTTCTGTTTACACATATTCCATTAAAAATTTAGATCAATATCTTACATTCTTTTATTTACCTATTATTATATCTGGGTTTTCTCATGATTGCACGATAAACATTGCAGTGATACAGTAATTATCTGACTTTGAGTCCTCTGAAAAAACGTCCAAGAAGAATAATTTGAGGACAGTTGGCTATGATCTTTACGTACAAGGAAGTTCATAGCGAGCTGGGTACCAATCGGGGCTGCTGAAACAGCCTATTTCTCTGTGCATCTCTCATTGTAGGGCCTTTATCTCGCTTACATATTCATGCATATGTCAGAGGTTGCCATACATCTACTTTTGGAGAGTTTTTATCTTGTGCTGGGTGTATACACACACAAACACATGCACACACACATACAGCTAAGCACAGAGAGGCCACTCTTGCACATGGCCTCCATATGGCAAAGCCCACTTTTATTAGGGCCAGTGTGAATATGTGTGTGCGTGTCTGTGTGTGCCACTCAGACACCAAGTTTTTGCCAGACATGGTTGAAGGAATTTCAATTAGCGTCTCTTGTTCCCTCCCCTTGCCTGCAGTGCTCTCTGACACACACGTGCACATGGGCGGTTTTACACACAGGGAGCTCAACCATTAGCTCTTTAAAGCCTAGACCATGAAATAATTGACAGACAATTCTTTTTTTTATTATTATTAGAGTTGTCATTGAACTTTCTGACAAAATTTTTATAAATTAAATTAGATCATTAATTTGCATCAATTAGGATACATTATGCATTTCTTTATAAACTTTTATATCTTTGTTGTTCAGTACATGTGCCTGATTGTGTAAATCAGGTTTTTTTAAGAACAAAAAAATCTCATTGAGGATTTAGAGGTCTTAAAAACTCATGTATCAAATGTGATACACTAGGCTTTAAAGGGTTTAACCACAAAGTGTCACTAACCATAATAGAATTAACTCCCTGCATTAGAGAGCCTGCATCAGAGAATCAATCAGTCTGAAAGGTTGTCGCAGTTTATCATTCTGGCAAAATGGTAAGAGTAATTTGGTGGCAGAGAATCACATGCAAGTCTTCATTCTTGTGGATTCAGTCAGGTTTTTCTTCATTGGAAAGGTCTGCATATAAAGCAATCTGAATACTCCTTGTACTTTTTTACATGAGCTTTGAACAAATTGCACCCCTGAAAGTAAAGCAAACAGAGTGTAATTGAATTCTGCTTCTATGTGTTTGAACATAAATGTGGTTTTTCCACTTTCCATGTTTCATGTTATTCACATGACCTCTCCTTCTTAGAGGTTTGCAAACCAACAGATTTTGACCACAGTTCTTTTTTTGTTTTTACATTTCAGATCATAACATTGTTCAAGTACACAGTGATGATTTTATAAGCTTATAGAAACCAAGCAACTGCTGCATACTGCATGAGAAACAAACTCCTAGTATGATGTAGTTTTCTGAAGGGTATTCACCAGATACAAGTGGCTTATCTGTATTGATCCAGATTAGAGGAAGAGTCTTTAAGACACATTTTAGATTAATCAATCTTTTATTCTATTTTTATCATAAAGATAATTACAGTAGAGCTTCATGTTTTTTTTCTGTATTGATGGAGGGGCTAAATGCACTGGTTTTTCACAGGTCCCCACTCCCCACCCAAGGAGACATGGCTTGGGGGGCACCATTAGCGCGCCAAAAAAAAGTCAGTTGCAGTTAGTTGCAGTCTAAGCATGCTTAATTGTCTATCTAATCAATGGAGAGAAGTGCCCACGGCAATATGTCAGTAGTCAAGTCAAATATGCCTTTGCACTCCGGCTGGTTAATAATGCTAATATGGGTGAATTATCCACAGCATCCAAGGCTGTTTTCAATTAAAGGGCTAGTTTATGTTTTTAGTATTGAATCAGGTATGTATTTGGTTATTACTAGCTTGAATCTTCACAGGTATAGGTTGATTCATATATGAAATTGATTTAGGAAATGATTAGTTGAATACTAAAAAGTTACTGTTTTTATCAAAATGCTGTTTGTTGGGAAAGCAGAGTCAAAGATATGCAGCAGAAGGGCTTATCCAGGGAGGCCTTCATGAAAAAAGTACTCTCTTCCGTATGATTAAAAAATGAGACAGGCTGATCAAATTCATTGAACACATTTCTAAATTGAGCACATGTTCACGACATTGAAACAGCTTATTATGGAAGCTGGCTTGCTATACGTCACTGGATCATATCAGGGATGATGAAGACATTTAACAGTGGTTGGGACTCCCTTATGCAGTCAAGCCATTCTGAACTTATCAACTTAGTTGCATTGAAGCACATAATTCAGGGTTAGTAAGGATAATGTGAAATGTGTTCTTTGCCGCTTACATGTTTTTTTGTTTACCCTCATTTGCTCCGTGCTCATCTATCCATCTCACCTCATAAGGCACTAGGAATGAGGCACTCTGGTCTCCATTTGGATGTCTTTAGGGCACGTCAGGATGTGATTAGCATTGATCCTGGCCCTGACCAAAAGGCAACAAAACTGTCCTTGTTCTCCTTTCTCTCTGTTGTGTACATTTCATTCACAGACAAACAGATAGAGCAATAAAACAGTTTATGGGCTTTTGAAGTTTGACCACAGTTTGACTTCACTGCAGCCACTCTGACAGTAAATATTTCCTCAACTGATTTGCACATGATAATGTGCATTCATTGGCATATTCCTTTTGAGTTTTAACTTTTTCAACCAGTGGTTTTTATGTTTTTGAAGTTTCAAAATGCCAGTGAAACTGTTTCATGCATAAAAGACTAAAATGGAATTAAAATAGTTAAATAATATTTCATACTGTATAACATTGCTGCATAGTTAAAGATACATTTTCGTGTGAATTTTGTATGCAAAATTCCATTGTATTCATGATGCTCTTTGTTCAGTAATGATCTCTAACCAACCTCTAAAGGTGTTCAGAGTACAACTAGGATTTTACTAAGATAAAATTACATATAAAGAGATTCCATGTTCTAAACAGTAGACTTTTCAGGGCAACCAGCTGGACAGAATTACAGATTTTTTTTTTATTGAAATATGTTTCACTTTCTGCTCGCCTGCAAAACAAAATTGAGTAAAAAAAAAACAACCCATGAATAAATAATTTTGTCACTGTATTTGAGAAAATCCATTTGTATGTACAGGTTCTTCAAAATCTGATGATCAAATGTTATAAAACTTGTCCAAAAGCAAGTTTGATGCAGAATTAAGATCTACACATGATTGCTTTTATTACATATCCTTACTATCCTTAAACTATCCTCAGTCTTCCTCTATGATTGAATGTCTCTTATTTTGCAATCTCGCTCTTGGTGCTGCGTCTCTTCTCCGAGGAGCATGTTTAGGGTTCTCATGGGAAAAGGTAACAGTGCGGCCCATAAAAGAGAGTTATGAGGTGGTGCTGGATGCACTGAGGGTTCGTGTCAGCATTGCTTTTCATTTAAGATTACTTTGACATC